CGTTACTTATTATAAGCGCACCCTTGCAGTAAAAAAAAAATGTACTTGTTGAATATTTGTCATTATTGTTAGAGCTAAAGCAAGGCTAGCCTTCATTAGTTGTAATTTTGCACTAGCTAAAAGTTTCACATACAATATGGTGACTATTGTCCTAGCCTAAACACCATCATCTTGCCTAGTCTAGCCCTAGGCCTGCTCTTCCTCCACGTCCGATTCAGGCTCCGTGGCGTCGTTGCCCCAGAACCCGTCTACTTGGATGTCGTTGTCTACCTCTACCTCGTGGCTCAGCTGGCTTCTCCGGTGCGCCATCACCAGATGGTCTTCGTTCCCGTCAAGGGCACTGCTGATGCCGCACGTGAGGAAGACTTTCTTAATCAGGTCGGCGGGCACGGCCTTCCACGCCCGTGAAATCCACTTGAGCACCATCGCCGGGGGTGGTTTCTTGTTGTTCCCTGCACCACATGAAAGGGAGTGGGGAACACATTAGTCCACAAGCAGGCAGACAAGCACACGAAGGGGAGACGGGAGGACATGTCGTCGCTCACCTGCAGGTGTCAGAATGTTCATGCCGTCCGCCTCAAACCAGGACTGGTACTGCTGGCGAACACTCGCTTTGAAGCTCTTGTTCACCGACACATCGAGCGGCTGCACGTCTGCCGTGCATCCCGCCGGGATGACCGCCGGCACGATGTTGAGCGCCGCGAATCTCGCCTTGACTTCCTTGGTAAGGTGACCACGGTAGGAGTCGAGTACTAGCATGGCACTCCGACTCTGCACGCCGAATTTCGGTTTCAGGAACGGCACCACGCCCTCATCGAGCCACTGGATGATGCCCGTGGCCTCCATCCACCCGTTCGCTTGGCAGCCGACCACGACATCTGCACACAAGCAAGCGGTGGTTAATCCCTTTTTTGTTTTGAACGTCCAAAACACGCACAAGAACATGTGCTTACCATTCGGGAAGTCACCCTTAGGCAGTGTTTTGCGCTTGAAAATCACCCACGGCTTCAACTTCTCGCCCGTCGCCGTGCACGCCAGCATCACAATGACTCTTTCTTTCTAGTAACCACCGCTGCGGATGGGCACCGACTTCACACCCGTCTGCTCTACGGTGGTAGTGGCCAGCATCTCCAACCAAAGAGGCGTCTGGTCGGCGTTGATTATATATCGATTGTTGATCGCGTACTCGTTGCGTGTGTCACGGACGAACTGCAATAATTATTTGCACTACGTCGCCACGTCTGCGCACGGGGAGGGAAGGACAGATAGGAAGAAGGATGAGTACCGCTACAAGATAAAGATATTCACACGGGAGCAACAACTCTTAAACCATGCAAATTCACTCCTGGTAAACGGGAAACGAGGCACTTATGCTCCTGCATTATCTGCACCACCTTAGTTTTCATGCGCACGCTGAGGTTCCACCGCTTGCGGAACCGCTCCGACCACCGCTGACTCCCTTTCCACTTGACATCCGGGAACAGCACCTTCATCACTTCACGTGACCAATCTCGGAGCCGGCCGACTGAAACTGCAACACCGCGGCGTCGCCGGTCGAGGAGTTGAGCGTACACCTTTAACTTCATGGGTCTATACCAAGAAGACCTCCCGCGCCCATGAAGTCGACACCATGCGGCGTGTGAAGCCTTGAGCTCCTCCGCTTGGGTTTTCCACTCCGTCAGGCATTTGCGGTGTATGCTGGACTCCCGCGCGACCTCGTTTATCGATGCCGCCAGCTCCAGCCACACGAGCCACCTGAGTTTCTCCTGGGAGGTGTAAGACTGCCGTTTATGTTGAGACGGCTTGTGCCTGGGAGAGGGGGGGCGGGCATCTCGGTTCTGGGAGGAGGGGTGGGGTCGTTTTTTGTTAATCGGCGGATACGTCGGTATCGGCATCTTCACGCGTGGTGCGTCGCGCCACCATGACTCCACACCGTCGCCGTCCTCGGCACTTGCACCAAGATCAAGGAACACGTCCTCCTCGGTGCCCGCTTCACCATCGCGGACACCATCGCCGTCGCGGCTGTTTTGTTTATCGGCGGCCACGTCATCGTCGGCGCCCACAGCCGATTCGTCCCACGTGCAGGCTTCAGGCTGTCCTCACCGTGGTTCAGGCGGCGGAGCCTGGATGAACATATCGGGGGCCTTGGGTGTGTCCGGTTCAGACAGCCACTCGTCGAAAGTGGCTGGTACATACAGCTGGAGCACGGGCCGTTGGTGAGCATTGGCACCGATATCAGGCGGATTCGGAGGAGCGGGAGGAGCAGGAGGAGCAGGAGGTGCAGGAGTAGCAGGGGGCGCAACGGGTTTAGGTGGCACTGGAGGCGCTCCTGGCTCACGGGTATACCACCCGTCGTCGGTAAGTCGCCACGGGCGAGCTGGTTTTTTCTTGAGGAGGAAGTGCGTCCCGCTGAATTCCGCCATGGCTTCGCCAGCCAGGCGGCCTAGACTGGAATCTGGATGAAAAAAAAAAAGAGAAAGAGGGTCCACAAATGGGCAACGAAAGGGACCCGTAAGGTTGGCGCCTCGTGGTCCTCGTCAATGACAGGCAGGAAACCCCCACCTACCCCCGTAGAGGACCCTGCATGGTAGCATAAACGCTGCGCTGGCAGGGAATCTTCCCCACCCTTCGAAAGGGTTCGGAAGAAATGCACATGCCACGCAGGGCATGCTGCTATGATTGGGCCACACGGCAACATCCCCGTCACTGCTGTCACGTTCGATGGTTCTAGACAAAACTGTGCGGTGGGAAACCGAACCGCTGCTGTTTTTGCTTGAAAACCATGCACGATCCCACGTGTTGCACGAGGAGGTGGGCCAACCCTGAGGCCATCAGCGGAACATCGTGAGCCACTAGCGGGTAGCGGCGGGCAGTACAGAAGCGAGGTAGGGCAGTCGTGCGGAGCACAAGCATTTCAACCACTCTGAACCACCCGATGATAGGAATGGTGGTGGAGAATTGCAGGTTGGCACAGCCCCTGCCTCTCTTCCTCATACGGTATAATACGGTACTCCTGCCAATAAGGAATATTGGGGGAAACTTGTACGTCGGCACAGTCCCTGGCCAAAAGTCCAGCAGCATCCAAATTTGTTTCATCACGCTGCCTGGGCTGACCCTGGAGGATGGATCTTCAGACGTGGAGGAAACCATGCCAGGTTGCAGAGAGGGGTTGAGGAGAGCAGGAGAGGGAGGACCGAAGAGGAAAGAGGGAGAGTGTGAAGAGGGCAAGGAGGAGGCTGAGGAGGGTGAGGAAGGGGAGGATGGGGTGGGGATGCAAGAGAGCAAGGTTCAGCTCTGTTTGGATCAAGTCAAGGCACATGCTCCCACGTAGCAGTGCACATGCTGCTCTGGCAACGAGTGCAATCATGAAACCCTGCTGCCTTTTGAGCAATGCGGTATTGAGACTTGCACAGCCCATCATTCTCCTCTTTTGTATCACCAACGTGGTGTGGTGGTGATGCCGCCAGGTCACTTTTGGGTCGACTCACAAGTCATTTCAGCAATGCGGTATTGAGGTATCGAAACATGCATAGCCCATCATTCTCCTGTATCACTGATGTGGAGATGCCTCCAGGCAAGCCGTGTCTTCTCATCGTACCTTCAACGCCCCATACCATACCGCTATCCATGCCCTCCCAGGACTGCCTGCTCTCGATGCCCCAAGCTCCTGCCCTGGATTTGAGTCGGCTGAAAAGCAAGCCGTGTCTTCTCCTCATGCCTTCAACGCCCCATACCATACAGCCATCCATGCACTCCCAGGACTGCCTGCTCTCGATGCCCCAAGCTCCTGCCTTGGATTTGAGTCGGCTGAAAAGCAAGCCGTGTCTTCTCCTCATGCCTTCAACGCCCCATACCATACAGCCATCCATGCACTCCCAGGACTGCCTGCTCTCGATGCCCCAAGCTCCTGCCTTGGATTTGAGTCGGCTGAAAAGCAAGCCGTGTCTTCTCCTCATGCCTTCAACGCCCCATACCATACCGCCATCCATGCCCTCCCCAAGACTGCCTGCTTCCGACGCCCCAGGCTCCTACCCTGGATTTGAGTCGGCTGAAAAGCAAGCCGTGTCTTCTCCTCATGCATTCAACGCCCCATACCATACCGTCATCCAATCCCTCCCCAAGACTGCCTGCTTCCGACGCCCCAGGCTCCTGCCCTGGATTTGAGTCGGCTGAAAAGCAAGCCGTGTCTTCTCCTCATGCCTTCAACGCCCCATACCATACCGCCATCCATGCCCTCCCCAAGACTGCCTGCTTCCGACGCCCCAGGCTCCTGCCCTGGATTTGAGTCGGCTGAAAAGCAAGCCGTGTCTTCTCCTCATGCCTTCAATGCCCCATACCATACCGCCATCCATGCCCCCCCCAAGACTGCCTGCTTCCGACGCCCCAGGCTCCTACCCTGGATTTGAGTCAGCTGAAAAGCAAGCCGTGTCTTCTCCTCATGCCTTCAACGCCCCATACCATACCGTCATCCAATCCCTCCCCAAGACTGCCTGCTTCCGACGCCCCAGGCTCCTGCCTTGGATTTGAGTCGGCTGAAAAGCAAGCCGTGTCTTCTCCTCATGCCTTCAATGCCCCATACCATACCGCCATCCATGCCCCCCCCAAGACTGCCTGCTTCCGACGCCCCAGGCTCCTACCCTGGATTTGAGTCAGCTGAAAAGCAAGCCGTGTCTTCTCCTCATGCCTTCAACGCCCCATACCATACCGTCATCCAATCCCTCCCCAAGACTGCCTGCTTCCGACGCCCCAGGCTCCTGCCCTCGATTTGAGTCGGCTGAAAAGCAAGCCGCGTCTTCTCCTCATGCCTTCAATGCCCCATACCATACCGCCATCCATGCCCTCCCAGGACTGCCTGCTCTGGACGCCCCAGGCTCCTGCCCTGGAGCAAACCACCCTGGTCCCTGACCCGTCCATGCCTCCTCTTCTCTTTTCCCACCGCCTCCCATTCCCCTGTTGCACGTTTTACGCTCATCCATTCCCCCCTGCCACATCCACCCCTCTTATTCCTCTGCTTCCCATGCCCCAAACCCCCGTCCATCTGCTTCCTGTTCCTCTGCCTCCCGTTCTGCTGCCATCCATTCTGCCGCCGCCCGTTCCTCTTCCTCTGCCGCCCGTTCTGCCTCTGCCTGGTCCTCTGCTGCCCATTCTGCAAGAATCGGACCCACCGCCGCCCATTCATTCGCCTCCCATGCCTCTGCCTCCCGTTTCGCCACCGTCCGTTCCTCTTCCTCTGCCGCCCGTTCCGCCTTCGCCCTTTCCTCTGCTGCCCATTCTAAAACCATCAAACCCCCCGCCGCCCATTCATGCGCCTCCCATTCCTCTACCTCCCGTTTCACCGCCACCCGTTCCTCTTCCTCTGCCGCCCGTTCCGCCTTTGCCCTTTCCTCTGCTGCCCATTCTAAAACCATCGGACCCACTGCCGCCCGTTCCGCCTTCGCCCTTTCCTCTGCTGCCCATTCTAAAACCATCGGACCCACTGCCGCCCATTCCTGTGCCGCCCAATCCTTCGCCTCCTGTTCCTCTGCCATCCACTTTGCCACCGCCCGTTCCTCTGCACGCACATTCCTCTGCCCGCCTGTTCCTCTGCCTGCCCGTTCCCCTGCCCGCCCGTTCCTCTGCCCGCCCATTCCTCTGGCGCCAATTCCTCTGCCGCCCGCTTGTACCTCAAAGTTTTCAGTCGTGTTTTGAGACGACTCAAAACACGACTCCGCCGCCAATTCCTCTGCCCCCGGTTGTACCTCAAGATTTTAATCCGGGGAGCAGGGAGCTTGGAGCGACAGCAGGTGGTAAGAGGAGAGGAGGGGGCAGCGGTGGCAAGTGCTGGAGGAAGCACGAGCTTGTGGGTGGAACGGGCAGGGGAATGGTGTTAAAATAGAAACGAGAAAATGGATGGACTAAGGGAAAGTTGGGTACAAATGTAAACCCTAGAAAACTGTACCCCATATGTGCTACCCCACTATAGCCTACAGCAGCTATGTCATATAAATCTGACACACCCCCATAGGCAAAGTGGGGGAGAACAAGGGGTCACAAGACCAGTCAAGCACAGCAAAGCAAGCTCAGGGTGGATCACAAAGTCACCACACATTCCGAGCACAAGTTCAAGGCCACAAGGCCAGTTCACATGCAGGATTACATATATATATAAGGCTAGACAAGCAAGAGCAGGTGTATATATATATGCAACAGTACAAACAAGGTCAAGGGGTGAGCAAGTGAGTCAAGGTAGGCACAAGACCCAGCTGAGTACAGAAGCGCTGATGATCACAAGGCGCAAGTGCCTTGGTGAAGATATCAGCAGTGTTGGCCTGAGAGGCCACGTACGCAAGCCGCAGCTGACCACGCTGCTGTAGCTCACGAGCAAGGAAGTAGCGAAGAGCAATGTGCTTCGTTCTGTGCTCCAGTCTCTGCTCTCGACACAAGGCCAGCATGGCCTTGTTGTCTACGTACAGCACTGGAGGAGAACGAGGCGGCTCTCCGAGGTCAGTCAGCAGGTAGGTGAGCCAGCGAAGCTCCTGTGCAGCCATGGCCCCGGCGTAGATCTCAGCCTCACAACTGGAGCCGAGAACAGAGGACGAGCGGGTAGCCCACCACGAAACAGAGCCGGAACCAAGGCTGAAGGTGTAACCCTGTGACGACCGCTGCGTAGCCTGGTCGTCAGCCCAAGAAGCGTCTGCGTGCCCAGTGAGGACCACTGGACTCTGCCCTCCAAGCACAAGCCCCATGCCCGACGTACTGCACAAGTAGCGCAACACCCTCTTCGCTGCAGCCATGTGCTCCGGTCTGTGTCTCCCAGGAGCAACATAGCGTGCGAGAATGCTAAGAGGGTATGCAAGGTCAGGTCGTGTGCAGGTCATCAGGTACATGAGGCAGCCAACAAGCTCTGGGTACGGGCCACTCGACTCTACGGACTCATCCGAAGGCAGAGCTGAGAGCGAGTGGCGAGTAGGCAGAGGAGTGGCCTGAGGCAAGGAGTACGTGAAGCCGAAGCGCTGAAGGACCTGCTGCACCATGTGTGACTGAGTCAGGGTAATGGTGCGGCGTGCTCTGTCCCGGGTGATCTGCAAGCCAAGGTAGCTGCGCAGTTCACCCAGGTCTGTGCACGTGTGTCTCTTCTGCAGCTCGGACTTCACGTGGGCGAGTCCAGCAGTGTCAGCTGTGGCAAAGACCAAGTCGTCGACGTACACGAGGATGTAGAACGGCGGTAAAGAAGTGTCGGTGCGCAGAAACAGCGACGGGTCGGCAGTAGAGGGAGCAAACCCAAGAGCCGCAAGTGTAGTCCTCAGTGTGTCGTGCCACTCACGCGGTGCCTGGCGGAGACCGTAGACTGGCCGCCGGAGGCTCCACTGGGTGCCAGGAGGAAAAGACCCAGTGAAGCCAGGTGGGCGACGCAGCCAGATCTCCTCGTGCAGGCTGCCCTGCAAGAAAGCAGTGCTGAAGTCAAGAGAGTGCAGCTCGTAGTCGCGGTGAGCAGCTATGTGCAGCAGTACCCGAAGAGTGGTCATCTTCGGGGTGGGAGAGAAGGTCTGAAAGTAGTCAACTCCCTGCCGCTGACTGAAGCCACGAGCCACGTAACGTGCCTTGAAGACAGGCGGAGAACCCGGCGGTCGCTTCACCCTGAAAATCCACATGCCACTGACGATGTTCGCCCCAGGCGGGGGAACCTCGTCAACGTAGGTGCCTGTGGACTTCCAGGAAGCCATCTCTGTGTCCATAGCTGCCTGCCACTGAGAGGAGTAGGGACCCTCTATCGCCTCCGCGTAAGAGCGCGGAGTCGGGATGTCAAGTGCATCCGGGTCTCCCTCAGGGGTGAGCAGTACGGACACGAGATGAGGTGAAGCAGCAGCCAAACACTGGAACTCCTCCTGCCTGTCCTCAAGGACGTCCGTGCCAAGGGCACACTCACCCCCGATGGACGGAGGACAGACAGACTCAGACGCAATGACAAGACTAGCAGCGTAGTCTAGACGACAGCGAGCAGCAAAGTCGACGAGCTCAGCAACTAGGGCAGACGCAGCAGTGGACTCAAAGGAAGGGTCAGTGACGACAGTAGCAAGGAGACGCGTGACAGTAGGACTGGCAGCACGAAGAGAGTCCGACTCCGGGTCGGGAAGAGCAGGAAGAGAGGACTCAGGAGGAGAAGGCAAAGGGGCACGCAGAGGAGCAGTGGACGGACGCAGAGACATCCGGTGCGTGCCAGGGACAGGAGGAGGACGCTGACGCGAACCACGGCCACTAGTGCGAGCAAGACGGACAGGCGACGCAGGGCGAGACGCAGGCTCACGACGCTCAGCCAGACCTCCAGTAGGACCAGTGTAGGGAGAAGGAGCGGGCTGTGTGAAGGCCGGCTGTAACTGTAACTGGGACGGGACAGGCTGTGGACACTCTAAGGGAGGAGGAGGACCAGTAGAAGGCGGGAGACCAAGAACCTGCTGAAGGAGCGGAACGAAGTACGGCCGAGGCCGCGCGGCGACTCCAGACACAGCAGGGACAGCACCAGTACCCCCAGCGGCAGCACCAGCGCCAGCAGCACCTCCAGCTCCAGTACCTCCAGCAGCACCAGGAGCACCCCCAGCAGGACCGCCTCCAGGACCGACAGCAGTAGCCTCAGCGCCAACACCCTCAGCAGCTCCAGCTCCAGGCGTACCCGCAGGCCCAGCAGCTCCAGTACTCCCAGTACGAGCACCTCCGGGACCCGCGGCACCAGCACCCGCAGCAGTCGAAGAACCTCCAGCTCCAGCAGCACGCCTCCAGCGTCGGGCAAACCACTCTCGCAGCTCCTGTGGAGAGAGTGGCTCCCGCCGAGACGAAGCACCCGGAGAACCTCCAGGCTCAGCACCGCCAGACGCCACACGAGCAGGCCAAGCTTTCTCAGGCTCCGCACCCCCAGGCTCAGCACCTCCAGGCGTAGCACCCCCAGGCTCAGCACCCCTAGGCGTAGCACCCCCAGGCTCAGCACCCCCAGGCTCAGCACCCCCAGTAGTAGCACCCCCAGGCTCAGCACCCCCAGGCTCAGCACCCCCAGTAGTAGCACCCTCAGGCTCAGCACCCCCAGGCGTAGCACCCACACGCTCAGCACCCCCAGAGTCAGCACCCCCAGGCTCAGCACCCTCAGCAGCACCAGAGTCACCAGTAACCTCGACAGGCTCGACTGCGTCTACCTGGGACACACCTGAAGGGGCAGGACCCTGAGGGGGGAGGGGGTCTACCGGGGGGGGACCTGGCACAAGGAAGAGCGGTGGCGGGGGGAGGGACGGAGTGCGGTAGGGGAAGAGGCGGTAGTAGGGGACCGACTCGTCAAACGTGACGTCCTGGGAGGACAGAACACGGCGAGAGGTGGGGTGGTAGAATCGCCACCCTGGCGCGTCAGGGGGGAAGCCAAGGAAGACGCAAGGAGCAGCACGAGGGGACAGCTTGTCCGCAGACAAGTCGCGGACAAACGCCCGAGATCCCCAGACACGGAACGCAGACGCATCGCCAACCTTCCCCGTCCACAGCAAAGCTGGGGAGGTCTCCGGCATGGAGACCCTGGGGTGAAGGTTGATCTGATGCGCCGCGTACCGAACCACAAACGGCCACAGAAAATGGGGGGCAGCCGCATGCATCATGGACGTACGCGCGACGTCCATGACCATGCCAATGCGGCGCTCAGCAATCCCATTTTGCTGTGGAGAGTCCGGAAGCGTGAAGGTCTGGCGGATGCCTCGTGCACGACAGTAGGCTCGCAGAAGGCCAGAGGAGAACTCTCCACCTCTGTCAGAGTGCAGACGCAGAACAGGAAAGTCCGAGCCGAAGCTCTGCCTGAGCTGGAGACGAGCTGCGCGGATCCAGTCGATCAACACCTCAGTGACATCACCCTTGCTGCGCAAGGGGAAGACCGTGGTGTAACGCGAGTAGTCGTCAACCACCAGCAGTGAGGGGTAATATTTTTTTGTCCCGAGCTGCTCGTTATTGACGCGACGATATAATTTAGGATATCCCAATAAATAAAACAGAATATTAGTCTCTGGACTCAAAAGGGGAAATAGCGTAATTATCTGACCGAAGGTATCGGACGCGAGCGCAAAACAAGGCGGTGTCAAAACCACAGCCGGAAGTAATTGGAAACCCGAAAACAGGGCGATCCGTCATTCCCTCCGCCAAACCTCTCGCATAGTTGTTGTGGTGAGTTCGGACGGGAAACCGGGTTTGATGTCAATTGCATTGGAACAGCTTTCGCAATGTTTCGTTGACAGTGTTCGTAAGTTCAGCCCTTTCCCAAAACGCTGTCAACAGGCGTATTCATTCCATTTTGGCGGGTTACAGTACTAAGGCGTGTTTATAAAAAAATAAAATGCAAACAAATGCTGTTCATTTGTTTTGAAGATGCAACTTTCCCCAGACAAAAGTTGAATCGGATCATCGTATCTAAGTGTAAAGTGTGGACGAGAAATCCGTTTTAGCTGAAATTCTCAAATCTTTCACGCCCTTGTTCACGCTTTCGTCAATTGGTGCTCTCGCCCACTGACATGCGACGGATCATAACGGATCGGACACCCCCAATGACGATCTTTGTCAGGCTCATCGCACACGGGACATTGAGTTCGCAGATGTTGCGTTTCTCCGGGCAGATTAGTGTAGCATATGCGTTTATTCGCTAGCAGTCTGGGCCTCGTGCCGCCGATGAGATTGGGGATGGCATGGGTGGGTATTGGGTGAACGGGAAAGTGGGTTCGCACAACGAGAGTCGCAACGGCCTCAGCTGGCGAGGAGGGGCAGTCACCACCGTCTCATGCAAGAGGGAGGGACTGGCGTCGAGATTCGAAGTCCATTGACGATAGAGATGATGGCTCATCATATGATATGTTTAAATTCACAACCTACCGTTTCGGTCCACCACACCCTCGCATGAGACGGTGGTGCTCATGAGCTTCTCATCTTGACGTCATCTTGACCTGCCATCACTCCCACCACGTGCATGCACGATGTCGAGTGACGTCATGTTAAGCATGTTTGTCACGTCAGCAAGCACACGGGTCGCGCGTGACAGCATGTCGATATGCTGCGGCTCTGGCGGGCTACTCGGGTCGGGTCCGCTCTTTGTCACACTGTTGACTGCATGGCTGCCGTTGCACTCCCCTGATGGCTGGCGTTCCTGCCTTCCCTGCATGACTTCTTTGTAATCCCTGCCCGATCGTATCGTCATCCCCATGCTCTATGTAATCAATTGCTCTCACATTGTCCCTCGTCTTTCCGCATCTCGTCCACACTTCTCCGAGCTCATCCATCCTATATACATCTTTGGGCAATCGAGCTCACTAGATACCACATCGTGTTTGCTCCATGGATTCATAATCTCTCTACTCGTCCATCTCGTGTTTCATCTCTAGCACTTCCTCTTTTTCCTTGGTCTCTCATCAGCAACCGCACTTCCTTGGTCTTTTTCCTCTAGGCGTACGGCCCCTCTTTTTTGCCTTAGCATCTTGTGCTCGGCTCGGCTGGTATTCTCCTTGTTTCTCCCAGCTCATCGCCATGGCTACGGCGGTGGCAGGGCTGCTAGTCGCAGTCATTCTTACCTCTGTGACAGTATCGAGGCTGCTGCCGATGAAAGCTGACCCTCCTGCCAGGGATGCCAACAAAGAACTGACACACCATGTAAGAGTCAAACCGAGTCAGATTGAGACAGATTCCGATTTATCTATGAAATCTGGGTCGGATTGTGTGCACTTGAGCATCACGAGGCGGAATTGGGCTACATGGTCATGAGGCGGTGTTCCTGGAAGCTATGCCATGCCATGTGATTCATTCATGGGACCTAGCTATTCAAACCTTGGAGATGTTCGGAGGCTGCCATATCACCCGTAAACCACTGCCCTTTCCATTTTCTCTCACCTTTCCTGTCCTTTGCCTTTCGCAGCTTCCACAAGACCCTCCCAGCCTGGAAGCGAACCGCTCTCTCGTGCATCAACCGACAACCCTCGTTGAGGTAGTATGCACAATCCATGCTTTGAATAATATGTGCAATTCATGTAAATTTTACGTTTCCTGTTCAGCCTCGTGGAAAAAAAAACAAAAAACAAAAATGAAACAAACAAAAACCGATCCATGTTAGCAAGAAATCTATTATTAGTGTGACCCCACTACACATCCTGTCAGAATCCCAACCACTAGACCATTGGGATAAAAGGGCTTGTTAAGTAGCGGGTCAGTGCGCCCATAACCCCCCAGGCCAACATGCCTGTAACCCTTCCCTAGGATCAATCGGGGATCACCAGTGGACCTCTGACACCCGCCAATTTTCAAGCTCTGTTTCAGTTGACGCTCTCTCTGGTTGTTGCTCTCCCGAAACTCCCATAATTTGTTTGTTTGGTGCTCACCCTTTCCCCCCCCTCTAACTGCGGAACACACTACCCTGCTCTGTGCACATGCGTGTGACTCCAGCTGTACTCGCTATACACAGCGCTGTGTCCGCTGATAGTGCTGCTCTGGTGGATGAACGTCACCCAAGCACAAGCGAGGGAGTGGTTGCGCCTGCAGGGCTTGGCTGCGAAATCTAAACTGGCAAAGCTGAAGAGAGCAGCTGCGTTCTTCATGGTAAGCCCTCAGTCATCTGCTATTACACAAGCGGTGGTACGTTTCATGTGTCTTTATCGTGTCAAAGTGATAAGGCATGATGATGTGTGCCTTGCCTCGTAATCATGCACACCTTTGACTGTTTGGTCCCTTATCATTCTCTGACGTGTCGATACGCCCCGTTCCAGTCCCTACTCTCTCCTGCTTCCCTCCTCATCGCTCTCCTTTGCTCCCAACGTGGTCTCTCCCTACTTGCCACAGGAACTTAATAACTTCCCACTTCTCCACAAAGCCATGTGAGCACATCCTTACCCTAAACTCCCTCCCACCTCTCCTCCCATTCTCTGTCTTTCCTTTTCATCAAAAGATACAACGTACGTATCTGTAATACGCTGCTTAAAACCATTGTATGCCTTCGTATGGCTTACTAATAACCCCTCCACTTGGTTTCCCTCGCATGGGTGTTGGCCCCCCTCCCGTACATGCTGCGTGTGTGCGTGCTCATTCGACGCTCATGTGCTCATCTTTTCATTCTATACCTTATTCTGTTGGAGGCCTCTCATGTGCTTTCAGGCATCTCAAAACTTCATTATGTACCTTATTCTGTTGGAAGCTTCTCATGTGCTACTACATGATTCTTCATGCTGCCATGCGCCTCCTTGTGTCATGTGCAGTGAGATTGGCAGTTTTGGAAAGAAGATGGTACATGATGCTTTGGTGGTAGCGCTGGCACAAAGGGCGGGAGAAGACTCACTGAAAGCAGCTCTGGAGATGGCAGAGAGGCGAATAAGCGCTTTGGAGAGGCACCTGGAAGATTCAAGGAAGGTTCAGGACGAACGTGAGAGAACACAAGCAGAAGAGAAGTGCAGGAGACGAGAGATGAAGTGCAAGCACTGAAAAGGGAGCTGGAGCAAGAGAGGGAGGAGAGGAGGAGAGGGGTGGGTGAGTTGGCAGACGCACAGGCTCAGGGAAATGCAGCCATGGATCGAATGCAGAGGGAAGCAGGTGAGAGGGACAGGTCTGTGCATGCGCTCAAGCTCGCTGTGGATCGGGTTGATCAGGTGGTGCAAAGTTGTGCCGGTAACAGTGAGCTGGTGGGAGTCAACGAAGGTTTGGCTGCATTGAAAGGAGAGACGGACAGGTCTGTGCATGCACTCAAGGTCTCTGTGGATCGGGTGGTGCAAATGGCTCCTTGTAAACTCGAGCTGGTGGTTGTCAAGGTGGCTTTGGCTGCACTAAAAGAAAGAGTTCAAGGTCACAAGACTGCTGCAGAAAGGGAGACGCGTGACATTCGGGAGCAAGCGGGGAGAGAGTTGACGGAAGTGAAACGGGAGCTGGCCGCAGTGAGGCGAGAGGTATGTGCGAACAAGTCGGCGTCTCAGAGGACGCTGAACGAGATGAGAAACATCATTGGTGCGGTGTAGCAGAGAAACGGCAGCACTGCAGCACGCATGGTGGAGAGGGAGAAGGAGTTAGCGGCAGTTAGGGAGGAGGAGTTAGCTGGCGGGAGCAAACCGGGAATTGCCTCAACTCATAGAGGCTGTAAGAAGGGAAGCGAGTGAGTTTAGTGAGGGCAAGTTGGCAACAGCGAGACATGATTTGTCTCAACAGATTACAGCGGAGGTGGATGAGATAAGGATGAAGTTTCAGGAGAGAAACGCCAAGTTTGCAGCGGTGCTGAAGCAAAGGGAGAGGGAGTTGGCAGCAGTGAAGCAGCAGTTGGGTGAGTTCAAGAAGGCTGCAGAACAAGAGGCGAGTGAACTTAGGGACATAGTGGGAGATTTGCAGCAAGGCAGTGAGGACGCTGCTGCGATGGTGAGGGAAGAAGGCGGAAGGCAGCTCAGCAAGCAAGGCTATGCGGCCCTGTGGAACAGCACAGCGAAAGGAGGACACCGCAAGGGGGCTGGTCAAGCAATCTGGCAGGTGAGTGACATTTTTGGTGGAAATCAAGGCTGTGAAGCTCGTGGTTCTAACCCATATGAACCGTTCTTTTCTTAATATGCCGTTTTCTGTTGTTATCGTCATTCCTTCGTCATCTTCTTGTTTTTGTTCCCTTCCTCCTCGCACGTGGTACAGTTATCATGTCTTTTGAACCTTCCCCCCCCCCCCCCCCCCCCCCCCCCCTCCCCCCCCTCGGTTTCATCCCCTCCAGAGACTCGAGTCCGCCTCAGGAAAGCCAAAGCTGGATTTGAGCGGTCTTTCAGGCCTCTCTAGCGCCGTCCTTGCACATGTATCCACCATGACCCACCTGACCGCTCTCAACCTGGATGGATCCTCGGATTTCACCACAAAGGGCATCTCCTGCCTCTACAAGCTCCCTTGGCTGGAGAAGCTGCACCTGAGTGGCACAACTATTGCAGATGAGCACTTGAAAGGCGTTGATGCATTGAGCAGGCTCAAGTGTCTCTGGCTCTCACTCACCAAGGTGACCGATGCAGGCCTGATGCATCTTGTGGAACTCCCCTTTCTCAAGCGCCTAGAGCTTGCCGGGTGTGAGTGTGTCACGTCTGCTGGGATGGCGCATTTGGGGAAGATTACGAGCCTCAAACAGGTTGATTTGCGACGCACTGGGGTGGGAGATGATGGGTTGCCGCAGCTCACCTCCCTGGTGAAGCTGGAGGAGCTCTTCTTGCCCTCTGGGAGGTGTGTCAACCATAAGACGCTTTGCCTCCGCCTAGGCTGGAGTGGGAATAGCAAGAGATGGGAGCAGGATTTGGTGAAGGAGAAAGACATGGGGGGATGGGAGATACGGGTTTTTGGCGAGGAGGTGGTGGAAGGGGTTTGCAAGGGGAGGAGGGAGAAGGGGAGAGAGATGAGGAAGGGCAGAAGGGAGAGGTGGGACAATGCACGAGTGCGAGAGCGCAAGGAGATGCTGAATAAGGAGAAGGAGACATGGCAAGAGGAGTATATTGCAGGGAGAGAGCTAAGAGTGTGTTCCTACTGTTAACGGGAGTGGAGTGTTGGCCCCGCCCTCGCTTGGGCAACGCCGACAACTTGGTCGGATGTACGGGAGTAGCAGCCGACCGTCCACTGTGGGAGAGTTGCTCGACAGGTTTCGTCGAGCTGCAGGGGACCGCTGTGATGATGCTGTCAACCAGGGAGCTCGACAGCTGCAACTAACTGGTCTGGGCGACGGCTGGGTCGTCGACCAGGAGGGGCAGTTCGACCGGGAGGTCTACGGAGCAGTCCGTCGACCTGAGAAGTGAGCAGCGGTCGACGAGGGGAGCTCGTCGACAACAGCTGACAGTTCTGGTCGACGGAAGGGGTCCATCGACCAGGGGGTAGCTCGACGGGGGCTGTGGTCGACCAAGGACACCTGGTGATCGACCAGAGGGACCCGGTGGTCGACCAGAGGCACTTGGGGTTGTCCAGGTCGAACGGGTAACCTGCTCGGCGAGTTCTGCGGAGGGACGCAAACGTCGTCGAGGTCGCGATGGCGAAGGCGACTTCGGGTTGGTATCCCGAAGTCGATGTGGCTCGTCAGGCGCAAACAACAGCCGACGGATGCACAACGGTGCAAGTCGGGCCAATCGTTTGCGCACATCTGCGAGCGTGCGCACTGCTGTCTTCTACGGGGCAACCCTCAGCTGCAGCGTTGGCACACTGTCGACCTGCTGCGTTGGCAGGTCGCCTTTCTGCAGTGTGTTAGAAAGAAGAAGTGTTGGACTAGAAAGGAAAAGGGAGTACAAGTACCTAACCCTAGAATTGTGTACCCCCTAAAGGCTAACCCACTGTAGCCTACACAAATACAACATATATAATGTTTGACACACCCCCATAGGCTAAGTGGGGGAGAGCAAGCGGTCACAAGACCAGTCAAAGCAAAGCAAAGCAAGACAAGCTCAGGGTGGATCTCAAGCATACCACACAAATTCCGAGCACAAGCAAATGGTCACAAGACCAGTTCACATGCAGTTTGATAATAGAACAAGAGGTACAGTGATCACAACCTAGCAAGTGTAAGCATGCAGGTATATATATAGAGATCATAGTACAAGCAGAGTCAAGAAGTGAGCAAGTGAGGGAGAGTAGGCACAAGGCCTAGAACAGTACAGAAACGCTGATGATCACAAGGCTGAAGTGCCTTGGTGAACACATCAGCAGTGTTGGCCCGAGTGGCCACGTACGAGAGACGAAGCTGACCCCTCTGCTGCAGCTCTCGCGCTAGGAAGTAGCGCAGAGCGATGTGCTTCGTTCTGTGCTCCAGTCTGTGCTCCTCACACAAGGCAATGGCTGCCTTGTTGTCGACGTACAGCACTGGAGGAGAACGAGGCCGCTCTCCGAGGTCGGTCAGCAGGTAGGTGAGCCAGCGTAGCTCCTGGGCCGCCATGGCTGTGGCGTAGATCTCAGCCTCACAACTGGAGCTGAGAACAGAAGAAGAGCGTGTAGAACGCCAGGAAACAGAGCCAGAGCCAAGACTGAAGGTGTAACCCTGAGACGACCGCTGCGTAGCCTGGTCGTCAGCCCAAGAAGCGTCTGAGTGTCCAGTGAGGACAACGTCGCGCCGTCCTCCAAGCACAAGCCCCATGCCCGACGTACTGCACAGGTAACGCAACACCCTCTTAGCGGCATCCATGTGCTCCTTCCGGTGACGGCCAGGAGTGACATAGCGTGCTAGGATGCTAAGAGTGTATGCAAGGTCAGGTCGAGTGCAGGTCATCAGGTACATGAGGCAGCCAACAAGCTCTGGATACGGGCCACTCGGCTCTACGGACTCATCCAAAGGCAGAGCTGAGAGCGAGTGACCGGTAGGCAGAGGAGTGGGCTGAGGCGAGGAGTACGTGAAGCCGAAGCGCTGAAGGACCTGCTGCACCATGTGTGACTGAGTCAAGGTGATGGTGCGCTGTGCTCTGTCCCGGGTGATCCGCAAGCCAAGATAGCTTGTCAGCTCACCCAGGTCTGTGCACGTGTGTCTCTTCTGCAGCTCCGACTTCACGTGGGCGAGTGCCTCAGTGTCAGCAGTAGCAAAGACCAAGTCGTCGACGTACACGAGAACGTAGAACGGCGGCAGAGTGGTGTCGGTGCGTAGAAACAGCGACGGGTCAGCAGTAGAAGGAGCAAACCCAAGAGCCGCAAGCGTAGTCCTCAGTGTGTCGTGCCACTCACGGGGTGCCTGGCGGAGACCGTAGACTGGCCGCCGGAGGCTCCACTGGGTACCAGGAGGGAACGACCCAGTGAAGCCAGGTGGGCGGCGCAGCCAGATCTCCTCGTGCAGGCTGCCCTGTAGGAACGCAGTGCTGAAGTCAAGAGAGTGGAGCTCGTAGTTACGCTGAGCGGCGACGTGCAGCAGAACCCGAAGAGTGGTCATCTTCGGGGTCGGGGAGAAGGTCTGGAAGAAGTCAACTCCCTCTCGCTGACTGAAGCCTCGTGCAACGTAACGCGCCTTGAAGATAGGCGGAGAACCCGGCGGCCGCTTCACCCTGAAAATCCACATGCCACTGACGATGTTCGCCCCAGGTGGGGGAACCTCGTCGACGTAGGTGCCTGTGGATTTCCAAGAAGTCATCTCTGGCTGTCTGCCACTGAGAGGAGTAGAGACCCTCCATCGCCTCTGCGTAGGAGCGTGGGGTCGGGATGTCTGGTGCATCCGGGTCTCCCTCAGGGGCAACTAGCATGGACACGAGATGAGGTAAAGCAGCGGCAAAGCACTCAAACTCCTCCTATCTGTCCTCAAGGACGTCCGTGCCAAGAGCACACTCACCCCCGATGGACGGAGGACAGACAGACTCAGACTCAGCAACAAGGCTAGCGGCGTAGTCTAGACGACAGGCGGCAGCAAAGTCAACAAGCTCAGCGACTAGAGCAGACGCAGCAGAGGACTCGAAGGAAGGGTCAGTGACAACAGTGGCAAGGAGACGCGTGACAGTAGGACTGGCAGCACGAAGAGAGTCAGACTCCGGGTCAGCAAGAGCAGGAAGAGAGGACGCAGGAGGAGACGGCAGAGGGACACGCTGTGGAGCAGTGGAAGGACGCAGAGTCATATAGTGAGTGCCAGGGACAGGAGGAGGTCGCTCACGCGGAGCACGACAACCAGCGCGGACAGCACGGACAGGTGACTCTGGACGCGACTCAGGCGATGCTGGACGAGACTCAGGCGACGGAGGACGAGACTCAGGCTCACGACGCTCCGTAAGACCTCCCGTCGGCTCAGCGTAAGGAGAAGGACCAGGCAGTGGAGAGGCTGGCTGTAACTGTGACTGCGACTGGACAGGCGGTGGACTCAGTAGGGGAGGAGAAGGACCAGTAGAGGGCGGGAGACTAAGAACCTGCTGAAGGAGCGGAACGTAGTACGGCCGCGGCCGCTCAGCACCTCCAGCAACAACCCCCTCAGCAGGCCCAGTCCCAGCAGCTCCAGTACCTCCAGTACAAGCACCCCCAGGACCTCCAGTAGCGCCAGCAGTACCGCCAGCAGCAGCAGCACCTCCAGCAGCTCCAGCAGCACCTGCAGCACCTCCAGTAGTAGCAGTACCTCCAGCAGCTCCAGCAGCACCAGCAGCACCACCAGCACCAGCAGCACCTCCAGCAGCGTCAGCAGCACCAGCAGCACCTCTAGTAGAAGCAGCACCTCTAGCAGCTCCAGCAGCACCAGCACCAGCAGCACCTCCAGCATCACCAGCAGCACCGCCAGCAGCAGCACCTCCAGCACCAGCAGCACCTCCAGCACCAGGGTCCGTGGCACTAGGAGCACCACTCCGGAGACTGCAGCGCCGAGCGTACCACTCCCGGAGCCGCTGGGGAGAGGGCAGCTCCCGCCTAGGAGGGGAAGCACTAGCACCAGCTCCAGCAACACTCCTAGCTCCAGAAGCACCCCTCCTGAGGCTACAGTACTGTAAGTACCACTCTCGTAGCTGCTGTGAGGAGAGAGCTCCTCCAGGTGAAGCACGCTCAGTCTCACCACCCTCAGACGTAGCACACCCAGGCTCAGCACCCCCAGACTCAGCACCCGCAGGCTCCGCACCCCCAGGCTCAGCACCCCCAGACTCCGCACCCCCAGGCTCCGTACCCCCAGGCTCAGCACCCCCAGGCTCCGCACCCCCAGGCTCCGCACGCTCAGGCTCCGCTCGCTCAGGCTCAGCACCCCTAGCAGGACGAGAGTCGACAGCTACCTCGACAGGCTCAACCGGGTCTACCTGGGACACACCTGAGGGAGCGGCACCCTGAGGGGGGAGGGGGTCTACCACAGCAGCACCTGGCGCGAGGAAGAGAGGCGGGGGGGGGAGCGGGGCAGTGCGGTAGGGGAAGAGGCGGTAGTAGGGCACGGACTCGTCAAAAGTGACGTCCTGAGAGGGCAGGACACGGCGCGAGGTGGCGTGGTAAAACTGCCAACCAGACGCGTCCGGGACAAAGCCAAGGAAGACACAAGGAACAGCGCGGGAGGAGAGCTTGTCCGCGGACGTATCGCGAACAAAAGCTCGAGAACCCCAGACCCGAAAACGCGACGCATCGCCAACCTCTCCCGTCCAACGCAGTGTCGGGGAAGTCTCCGGCAAGGAGACACGGGGCCAGAGGTTGAGCTGATGCGCAGCGTATCGGACCGCAAACGGCCACAGAAAGTGGGGGGCAGCCGCATGGATCAAGGAGGTACGAGCGACCTCCATGACCAAGCCAATGCGGCGCTCAGCAACCCCATTCTGCTGTGGAGAGGCCGGAAGCGTGAACGACTGGCGGATGCCGTGCTCCGCACAGTAGGCTGCCAAGAGGTCGGAGGAGAACTCACCACCTCTGTCAGAGTGCAAACGCAGGACAGGAAAGTCCGAGTGGAAACGCTCACTGAGCTGGAGACGAGAAGCGCGGATCCAAGGGATCAAGACATCAGGGACCTCACCCTTGGTGCGCAAGGGGAAGACCGTGGTGTAGCACGAGTAGTCGTCAACAACGATCAGGAAGTACCTCTCCTGACCCTGTCCACGGACGCGGGCTGGGCCCCACACGTCCATGTGGAGCGTC